TTACAACTTGGCCAGGTGAGGGAGGCGTTGGTTTGATGTTAGCATTATTTTATTTCGTTTTTTTTTAATGGTTTGTGGAGGAAGATGGAGATTTTGTGATATTTACGGTTAGAATTATATCAGACGAACGTTACGTGCATCTGAACACGCAAAAGTATTCACAACAATCGCCACAAAAAAATAATATGTCGATGCAGCAGACCGAATCGTAAGAGATGTTTTAACTCCTTTAACTCTCCAACTCCTTCAAGGATCATCAGGAAATGTTGAATAAGGATCATCTTTGACAGATTAGAAAGTCTATCACGTAATTCACTCAACACGGAAGCCTTCAGTTAACCAGCTGTTAGTGATTCCACAGGTGACTTGAATGAGAAGCAATGAAAGGCTTAATCACCGTGCGATTTATTTTCATCATTAACGTTACAAAATAAGTAATTTGTCTGTCCAGATGATTGATGTCAGTATCTCTTTGGACAGTGGTGATGACGCTATTTATAGATATGTCAAGAGTTGGCAAGGAAAGAGAAGGAAGTACAGTGTAAATACCATCCGTTATGTTGTTGACTCTACCTTGCTAACTATTTGAGGAGAAATCCCAACACAATCTTTATAAGTGGAACATCTATAGCTAATATAGACGTATTTGTTTGAATAGCCGCTTTAATAAAACCACAGAGTTTGGAGTATCACACTATTTAAATCGTTTTATAGATGAACTGTATAGGTTACACGGGGCCATAAATACATCATTAGCTTCTCATGACGTGTCAAGTCTGATCTCCATTTGACCTTAGCGACTCCTCTCCAGGAAGAGTGTGATATTTGGGGCACTGCAGACAAGATCACCTCGTGCCCCTTGTCGCTCGGGAGTTTATTTTTGGCAGCGCTTATAGTGGGACGTGTGGGTGTATGGTAAATAGAGGAGAGTGAGAAAGAGATTGAAAAAAAGGCGCACTTCTAGGAATAGTTTTGTTACCCCTAGAATGGTCGATAGCCCCGTTTTTCTTTTTTACCTATTCCGTTTACAAAGGAGAGACTAAAGTAGATTTCTGTGTTCCCAGTGTCATGTGTTTTTTTTTACTACTACGACGTCCTTTTTTAACGAGCGGTAATGATTTAGTTTAGTTTTACATGTTTGTAACAAGTATATCAACTTTTTTATTATCATTTTTTTCTATTTTTTCCAGTTGTTATCACCATTACCATTAAAATTTCTGCTTTATCGTTTTTGTTACCGGCAGTGATATTAATCCTAATGTCAATACATTGAACTATGGTTATTAAGGCCGAATAAAAATAAATATTAAGATTCCTGGAACATGATAACAGTAAATAAGGCCGTTAAGTATTTTTTTTTCTGGAAATACTGTTCGACATCGATTTTTCATAACATATATATATAATTATATTTTGAAATTGTTCAAAATGTAATCAAAATGTTCAAAGGAGACTTCTCAAATTTACTTTTTATTTATCAAAATTATTATTACTAGTTTGTTCCTGTTGTTATCATTATTATCTTTATAATTACCGTTATTCCTTTTACCTCTTCGTCTTTCATTAAGTTTCTTTCATCGTTTCATGAAGAACGTTTTTGGTATTCTGCATCCAGGTCATGCAAATTGCAGGAGATGAAGCATTGTGCAATTTGGGCAGAAAACGTGTACTTTTTAGCAAGACCGAAGACAGATGCTTCTCGCGAAATTTTGTTTTAATTTTTACTGTGGTTTGAGAACGATGTCTGTTTTATATTGGAATTCAGTCATTTATTTAGATTGTAATTTGTTTTTTTTTTGGGGGGGTCTAATTTATTATTATTATTTTTTTTTAGTTGGAATTAAAGTTTAGAAAAAAAAATCATGGATTAGTGTGGGTTAATTCACATTTTGTTTGATTTCGAATGGCTGGACGTGTGTGTTTGTGTATGGCCCTCTCTCCCTTGGTGTGTATATATACACATCCATCTGTCGACTCTCTCTCTCTCTCTCTCTCTCTCTCTCTCTCTCTCTCTCTCTCTCTCTCTCTCTCTCTCTCTCTCTCTCTCTCTCTCTCTCTCTCTCCCCCCCCCCCTCTCTCTCTCTCTCTCTCTCTCTCTCTCTCTCTCTCTCTCTCTCTCTCTCTCTCTCTCTCTCTCTCTCTCTCTCTCTCTCCCCCTCTCCCTCTCCCTCTCCCTCTCCCTCTCCCTCTCCCTCTCTCCTTCTCTCCCTCTCCCTCTCCCTCTCCCTCTCCCTCTCCCTCTCTCCCTCCGTCACTTTCTTTCTTTCTTTCTTTTTTCTCCTCTCTGGCTTCCCTCTCTCCCTCCCTATCTCCTTGCCTAAGTTCCCAGATAAATAAATAGATGATGAATACTACATAAATACATATGTATATATGTATCATTACTAATTAAATCAATCACCCTGTAATTCGACAAGAGAGAAAAAGCTTCGCAGTCCACGCAGCGTAAGGTTCCCTCCCGGTCTGGCAACAGCGGCGGCGTGCGTGGCCTGAGCGCCATATGGGTAACCCAGATCTCTTTGGTACCTGCGAGTTCCATCACACGGTCTCGAGACGCCCTCCGCCCACCAGTCCAGTTTTCCCTCCTCCCGACGACGGCGCTTGAGATTCGTGTTGGGAACTCCCCTCATTGTCTCGTAGTTTCCCCCGTATTTGACCGTACGAGAGACACGCGCGTGGAAAGAACGTTTCTTTATATGTATATTTTTTTTCCCCTGCAAGTGCGTGGTAAGATATTCTAGTACGAGCGTTTTGTGAAAGCCCGCAGCTTTGCCAAGGTTGGAGGTCAGCGTCGCGTACACACACGCATACAGACACACACATACATACACACACACATGCGCGTCCATGCTGTCAAGCTGTCGGGGGGCTTCCAGCTGCCACTACTCGGCGACGCAACAGTCAGTGTTACAGTCGCGTCGGTTCCCTACACGACACTCGGGACGTCCCACTCAACAACAAAGGACTTGGTGACGGTGTTGTGTGACTGGAACTGAACTGAAAGAAAAACATAGAAAGGACTCTTTTATACATCAGTGCACGCGTGTTAAATATTCCAATTCTACTTTTGCTGTTTTTTTTTTGTGATTAGCGGTGTGTTTTTAGTGATTTATTCTTCTAATAATTATCACTTCTAGAAATAAAAAAAGTAATCTCAAGATCGACGAATTAAGTGGAAATAAGCACAACAATAAATAACAAGAAAATAACGCACGTACTCTAACTAGTGGCGTATGTAAGAAGCTTATCTAACACAGGAGGGGGACGAGGAAGCTTCCAAAGTGTAGATTATGGACGAGTTTTAGATACTTATTTCTTGGTCTATACGAGTCCGAATATAAAACAAGTGATAAACATTAACAAAAATACAGAAGTTTCCCCCTAAAAAAAATAGGAAATTGATTTTAAAAAAAGTTATATCGAGTTGCGTGCATTGCGTGAAAAGTGATTGCGTCTTGATTGTTTTACTTAAAGAAACAACCACCATGAAGGAAGCAAAGAAAGGTGAGCTGCACTACGCATGAGGCAATCATGCGCATGATACCCGCATAGGTCATTCACACTGCAGGTAGAGAGAGGAGAAAAAAATAAATAAATAGAGAGAGTGGGGGTGAAAGAGAGAGAAATAGAGGTGGAAGGTGGGAGGATGAGACAGATACGTGACACAGACAGACAGACAGACAGAGACAGACAGCGAAAGATAGTGAGACAGACAGAGGAAGGGAAACGGGCGTAGAAAGAACACAATACATAATTTTTTCAAACAAACAAACAAACAAAAGTCCATGTCACGTGGATAAGATACAGATTATTGTCAATTTTGATCCAATTGAGATACATAGGAAATATAGAAAGGGGGTAGGAGTAGGGGAGGGGGTAGGCGGTTGGTGGGGGGAGGGGGTCTTCCGGTGTGCATACTAACCCCATGAGGCTGGAATTTTGCAAGTCTCCGCCCTTCGTTATTGCAATGATTATAATGATTTGACGGTATCATTGCACCCATTTGCATGATATTGAATGTTTGTGTACGCCCGTATGTGTGTGTGTGTGTGTGTGTGTGTGTGTGTGTGTGTGTGTGTGTGTGTGTATGTGTGTGTGTGTGTGTGTGTGTGTGTATATGTGTGTGTGGTTTCTCGTTCATTCTTTGATAATAAAAATCGCTATGTATGTCATTCGTCACATTAGAATGTCCTTTGAATACCGCAAATTCATCTCCATTCATTATTTTAATGAATGCCAAATACCATTTGTAATCCAGGACACGTTGCATTGATGTGTCTCTCGTGAAGAAAGACAGAATGAATGAAAGAAAGGGGAGAGAGAGAGAGAGAGAGAGAGAGAGAGAGAGAGAGAGAGAGAGAGAGAGAGAGAGAGAGAGAGAGAGAGAGAGAAACCAAAATAAATTTAAAGATGGAGTGCGCGAGAGACCCAACCAATTAATCAAATGCAAAATCAACGCCTTCAGTATACCTTCCGTTTTCGTCAATGTCACCCAAATTAACAAAAGTAGTCGCGAGGTCAATTCTATTTTCTTTAGCGACCGCGAGGACATCACCTTTCGCTTTTGGCCCACGAGGACATATACTTCTTTTTTTGTAAGCGACCGCGGGAGCAATTTTTTTCCCCCGTGATCCCTTGAGTTTTTTTTCCGTGTTTTTATTTTATTTTATTTTATTTAGCCTTCGTTAAATACTGTGTTATTCTCTTTGTCTTAATGTCTGTCTTGTCTTTTCGGTCTCTCTCTCCCTCCCTCTCCCTCTCCCTCTCCCTCTCCCTCCCTATCCTTCTCCCTCTCTCTTTCCCTTTCCCTCTCCATTTCCCTTCCCTCCCCCCCCTCCCTCCTTTAACCCTCCCTCTCTCCTTGTCTCTCTACCCTCCCTCCTTCCCTCCTTTTCCTCTCCATCCCTCTCTCCCATACCTCATTTTCCCTTCCAATAAAACATTCGTTCATTCACTTATTCCTATTCGTCATTAACCTTCATTTTCGTTTTCCTTCGCAGATTACGGCAGCGAGGAGGAGGGAGACGGCTATGAGGACGCGGCCAATGACTACGTCTCAGCTGAGTTTCCTGACGAAGGCCTGGGCGAATCCGACAGCAGGTCCTATTATGCGGAAGATCCTGGTAAGGGCGGCCTTCCGTTTTCTTTGGGCAACTTTTAGGGGGGGGAGGGGGTACTAGGGCAAAAAAAACCCTGTGCGGTATGACTTTTGGGGTAATTTTTGTTTTTCTTTTGTTTTGTTTTGATGGGTTGTCTTATTTTTTCCTTCTTGGTATTTTTTTTTCCTTTTCTTGTACTTCTCCTTCTCTTTCTCTTTCTCTTCTTCTTCTTCCTTCTCATTCTCCTTCTTCTTCTTCTTCTTCTTCTTCTTCTTCTTCTTCTTCTTCTTCTTCTTCTTCTTCTTCTTCTTCTTCTTCTTCTTCTTCTTCTTCTTCTTCTTCCCCCTCTTCTTTTTCTTCTGAACTGTAAACGGAATTTTGCTACTGACAAACCTTGTCAGTATCAATATTTCAGTGTTATATTCACGCCATCTGTTCTGTCAAGAAAATCCAAAATTCCAGAAAAAATATGAGATATTATTTAATATTGGCAGAAAAAAAACCCACAATGCAAAAACCAGATTTATTTAATATTGTATAAACCGAACATATAAAGCAGCTCCTGTGTAAGAACAGCTGGAGTATTTTTATGATATTTTTGCGGTTAGAATTACAAAATAGCCTTCTTCATCACACAAGGAGATTGTTAGATTGTTCAGCAGTTAGGCATTTTCGACGCGGCTTCCTAAGTGATGGCTGTGTTCAAGATGACGGCGAATATATAAAAACATTTGAGCAGTGAACACGATAGCTTAAACGTGAAAATTCTGTTGATGTGTAGATTGTTGTTGTTGTTGTTTTTGTTGCTGTTGTTAATATTATTGCCGTTGTAAATGTTATTGTTATTATTGTAATTGTTGTTTTTTTGTAATTATGCTTGTTATTGTCATTGTTTTTTTTCTTGTTATTGTCGTTGTTTGTTGTTTGTGTCTCTTGTTATCGGGAGATGATAGCATCATGAGGGAGATACACTTGCAGAGGACACGTGCCTTCATCTCGCTACCTCCCAGCATCCAGAGCGTGACGGATGGCCCAGGGCGGCGATGGGCGTGAGAAGGGAGAGTGGGCGGGGGGGTTTGCGATGAATGTCAGTCATCTACGCCCACGCAATCTGTCCGGAGCGACGCCCACTCTCACTGCACCCATCTGTGCTTTAGCTAAATCACTCTGTGCATGCGCGGTCTCTATCATCTTGGGTTTTCACATTTCTTCAAGATTTCGCCCACGTATATATTTCACGCCCGCGCATCTACCTACGCCCACACGCACACACGCACCTCCATCTCAACCCGCCCATCCTCATCCACATAACCCTACATACCAACATCATCATAGACGTCAACATACCACATATCCCGAGAGAGAGAGAAAGAGAGAGAGAGCGAGAGAGAGAGAGAGAGAGAGAGAGAGAGAGAGAGAGAGAGAGAGAGAGAGAGAGAGAGAGAGAGAGAGAGAGAGAGAGGCCCACCCACACCCAACATGCATCCAACCCCGCCCACAATTTGCCGACAACGCCCACATCCAGTCTTTTGTCAGTTGCAAAAAGAAGAGATAAATGCACCGATCAGGCAGTGGCTTGCATGAATGAAACTGAATCATGAAAGCAGTTAAAATGTCATGAATGAAATTGGCTTGTGAAAAGAAATTAAATCCGTGCTTCATTAACGTAGAAAGTCAAAAAAAAAATCTTCTTCAGTAATATATAATATAAATGAATGATATGTAATGACTAAGGAACCGACTTTCTTATCACGGATCCCCAAAAAAAACGAAATTAAAAAAGATAAGATGAAAAAGTTAGATAAAGAAAAGGTGAATGAAAACAAAAGATTGACCTCGTATTTGTTATCAGAAAGGGTCAAGGTCACACGAGGTCAAAGGCCGCTCGTGACTGTCTCAAAGGCCACGTCACGCAAAATGGGAAGAGAGGAGAAAGGGAGATAAACAAGGGGATAGAGAGAGATATAGGGAGAGAGACTTCTTGTTCTCTCGTCTGCCTGTGTGTTGTTGGAGAGAGGGAGTAGGGAGGAGAGGAAAAGAGATGGTAAATAATGATATATCGAGGAGAATTCTCTGTTCTCTGACTGTCTCCCTCTCTCCTCTCCTTCTCTCCTTCTCTCCTTCTCTCCTTCTCTCCTTTCCTTCTTTCCTTCTTTCCTTCTTTCCTTCTTTCCTTCTTTCTTTCTTTCCTTCTTTCCTTCTTTCCTTCTTTCCTTCTTTCCTCCTTTCCTTCTTTCCTCCTTTCCTTCTTTCCTTCTTTCTTTCTTTCTTTCCTTCTCTCCTTCTCTCCTTCTCTCCTTCTCTCCTCTCCTTCTCTCCTTCTCTCCTTCTCTCTCTCTCTCTCTCTCTCTCTCTCTCTCTCTCTCTCTCTCTCTCTCTCTCTCTCTCTCTCTCTCTCTCT